CCATGTTGTGCACAAAATTCATTTAATGGTGCATCATATTCACTACCCCTATCATTTCTAACCATTTTAATGGTTTTACCAAGTTGATTTTCAACTTCTGTTTTGTAGAGTTTAAACATTTCTAAGGTTTCATCTTTACTTCTAAGTAAATAAACATAACAATATCTTGTGCAATCATCGATAAATGTTATGAAATACGTTTTACCTCCTCTAGTTTGAACAAATTTAAGATCACATACATCTGTATGAATTAATTCTCGAGGTTCGATTTTCCTTTCAACTGATTTAAATGGAGCCTTAGTTAGTTTTGCTTCTACACAAATTTCACATTTTTGATTAGGATTAATTTCAAACTTTGGTATATAATCTAAACCAATTAATCTACGCAAAGTATCAAAATTCACATGTCCTAATCTACCATCCCATAAATTCGACTCAAGAATATAAGCAAAAGATATGTTATTCTTATTCATAGCAACTTTCGGTACAACTGTCATTACATTCAATTTAAAGACCATCACTCATGTATCCCTTACCAACATACATACCACTCTTTTTTAATACAAATTTATCAGACTAAAAAACAAGCCTAAAACCATTTTTACTTAACAAAGAACCAGAAATTAAATTCTTCCGGATGTCAAGTACATGCAGTACGTTGTTGAGGGTCAGTTATTTTCCTGATGTCATCTTCAAGATCACTTTCCCTTGCCCAGCCATAGTAGAAGTAGAAGTAGAAGAATTTTCCATGAAAAGTTATTCACCATTTGCAGCCTCATTGTAGGTAGTGAGCATCTTCTTGTCTGCACAAATGTGACGAGTTGCTCCAGTGTCAACCCACCATTCCTTGGGATTTCCAACTAAATTAGCCTCAGACACCACAACAGAGAGGTTGATGTCATTCACCCTATCAGAGATGTAATCTAATTCTGTCACATTGGCCTGATTGGGGGTCTTTTTGCTTGTACTTCCATGATCCTTCTTAGGGCGGCGGCAGTCAGAAGCTCGATGTCCAGTCTTGCCACAGTTATAGCATTTTCCTTTGAACTTCTTGTTGTCATTGTTGTCGCTTTGTTTAGGACCATCTCTAGTAAACTTCCTCTTTTTGTTATGTGGTTTATGAACTTGTTCAACTGCATTAGCCTTGGACTCGATGGGATTTTTCCTATTCTTCTTTTCAGCCTTACGGTTATCTTCCTTAATTCTTAGTCTTACAATAAGTTCATCTATAGTCATCTCTTTGCGGATGTCATTCACTCTGTCAGAGATGTAATCCAATTCTGTTACATTGGCCTGATTGGTGGTCTTCTTACTTGTACTTCCATGATTCTTTTTAGGGCGGCGGCAGTCAGAAGCTCGATGTCCAGTTTTGCCACAGTTATAGCATTTTCCTTTGAACTTCTTGCTACTATCGCCTTGTTTAGGACCATCTCCAGTAAACTTCCTCTTTTTGTTATGTGGTTTATGATCTTGTTCAACCACATTAGCCTTGGACTCGATGGGATTTTTCTTATTCTTCTTTTCAGCCTTACGGTTATCTTCCTTAATTCTTAGTCTTACAATAAGTTCATCTATAGTCATCTCTTTGCATTTATGTTTTAAATAATTTTTAAAATCATTCCAAGCCGGTGGTTACTTTTCCACTAAAGCAGTGACTTGGAAAGACGCGTTCAGAGACATACCCTCAGAATGAATATCATGTAAAATTAATTGAAAACTTTGAACTTGAGAAATTACCGATTGGAAGTCTACCATAACAAAGTCCAGAAATTTACCGACGACAAATTTATTTGTGCCGGCATCCTCTGTCTTGTATTTCTTTTCCAAAGAATCCCATAATTCTTTTGCTGACTTTAAAGGACTGTAAACATTATACAGCATGTTGTCAAGGCCATTGAGGATGTAGTTTCTGTACAGGAAATCTAAATGTTTCCAAGCATCTACAGCGGCAACAACTTGCCGATCGCTTTCACCCTCTTTAAGTGCTGGAGCCTCTTCATGGAGAAACCGGGCCAAATTAAGAGTTGTAAGATAGAACAGCATCTTCTGCTGCCATCTTTTAAACTCAGTACCGTTAAATTTTGTCGATTTTTTCTCCATGATTTATTGGTACATGAACATGGTTCTAGATAGGGACCGGTGTTGGTGTAACAATCGGAGTACCACTTCCAGTTGCAGTTTCAGTAGCAGTAGCCATAATCTATGATTACAAAAATCAAAAAAAATTAAAACACAAATTAATTTTCTAATTACTAAAACCAGAAAATAAATTAGAAGCCAAAATAATTTTATTTTCCTTGTTACTAAAACTAGAAAAATAAAATACCACAATAATTTTCTGTAACACAAATTAATATCCCGCAATTGTTAATGACATCAGTATATTACTACTAGTTGTCAAAGAAAAGAGACAGTATATTACTACTGTTTGTCAAATAACATAAACCACTATTTGTTTTTCTAACCAGAATATGTCTTTATGAAATCACAGAAAATTAAATACAATAAAGATACCAAAAATGATTCTGTCTTAAGATTGTTGGACAATCTTCACTGCATTTAAATTAATTAATTCTGTTTGGGTACTAAACGACAAACAGAATACAAAAGAAATATAGGAAAGAATAATGAATGTTTGATTACAAAAATCATACTAGAAAAAGAATTAAATAAATAAAAACAGATTTTATTTTGTTACAAAAACAAAATTAAAATCTGATTTAAATAAATAATAAAAACAGAAAATAAATAAATAACTTACTTGATTAATATCTTGAATATTATTCTGATTAAGTCCAGTGTTTGACACTGTGTCTTTAAGATAGATTCATCCTCTCCACGGTGCTTTCAGAATGTGGACATCTATCTCCCAGAATGAAATGATCGACTACAAACAATAGCAGCACTACAAATTGTTTGTCTAACGAGCACACTAAGTGTTTATACTGTTTCTCACAAAAATTAAATGCAACAAAATGAAGAATAAATTTGCAGAGATGAAGTACAAAATTTCTGAATCTAACATCAAATGAGGGTTGTCCTATTTATAGATGGATTGGTGGCTGTAGGTTTTGAATTAAACAGGTGCAAACCTGTTTGAACAGGTATGAAACCTGTTTGGTTTTGAATTAAACAGATTTAAATCTGTTGGGTTCAAAATTCAAACAGATAAAAACGGGAAGGAACCTGTTTGGGTGTACAGAAAAATCGGACCAGTTTATTTCCGGAATTAATTTGAATTCTGAATTTTATTTTTCAAAAAATAAAATAAAATTCAAATGTTTTTGACCTAAAAAGATAGGTATTGGGCCGGACAAACCCAACCCAACCTCACACCACGCACCCGCGCCCAAGCCCAGCCCAAGCTGCTCGATCGGACGGTGGTGCGCGCGTGGTGATTTTTGGGTCCAATGGGTCTAGACCATTTTGCCCATAACCTCCCTCTCTAAAACACTTGGGTACCCCTTGGGGTACACCCCAAGTTTCAATCCCATGCCTTATAAACCCATTCAAAACTTTCCACCAAATCAATGTGGGACAAGCCTTATTCAAACCTTTAAGGATTTTTCACAAAAACTCCATTTCCATGGAGCATACTTTGGCTTGAATTTCCCATTCACTCGGTAGTGGTTTTGAGCAATCAAATATACCACGTGAATCATAACGCGGCATAGAACGCGTTACCACTTTGACCCGTGACAAACGACGCACGGGGTCCACCTAAAAAATTAACCAAACTTAAGAAAAAATTCTGGTTTTACCCAGAATTTTCCAACCATTTCCAACAAATTTTACTTGGTCCAACCATGCTAAGGTCACCATGATGTGCTCTATAACATATATATATATATATATATGCAAGACAGCTACAAGCATGGAGATTTTATGGTTTAGAAATTATAAATAAATAAAAATAAGTTGGTTTAGAGATTTTATGACCGGTTACGTGTTTTCAAAAGTAGATATGTAATCACATTTTCAGAGCTCAAATCAAGCATAGAGTTCAAACCAAGGACTGGAATCACATTTCTAGAGTTCCATCAAACACAGCCCTAGGTTTTTTTTTTCTTACTATTTTTTTAAAGAAAAGAAATAAGAAGGGTAAATTACAAATACACCCTTAAGATTTGTTTAAAATACGAATTGTCTCTTGTGGTTTGAAAAATTACAAATACCTCGCTGTCAGAATTTTTTATTTAATAGAATTAATTAAAAAAGTAAAATTTTTAACTATTCACCTATACAATAAAATAATTATCTGAATTATTAATTGAAATAAAATTTTAACATTATTAAAAACTGTTAATTAACTTGATGATTTATTAATAAAAAGACCTATCTGTTATGAAATTAGAAACGTTTGGGGACATAATATAATTTTTAGAATCACAAGGAATAATTTGTAATTTAAGTAAATCTCAGGTGTGTTTGTAATTTACCCAAATAAAAAACTACTACAGAGGCAGTGTGTGAGCTCAAATTTGGGGAGGAATTGTACTGTTTAAAGGTCATAGTAGGTAGGGACATAGAAATATCTGTGACATTTTCCAAGACAATACTAATGAGGTTCCACAAAATTTAAGTTCAATGTTTTGAAATACAGAAGAGAAGGACTTGTACAGAAGTTTCTTTCCGGCATATATTGTTATCTGTATAAGCAACCGCATTGTATTTCTTATCTTCTTTTAGTATAGTCAAACTGGTGTGAGCAATGATATAGCCAAGATTGCAGAACCACGTAAATTTGTTTGTCAAGTTTTTCTTGTTTGTGAATGATTCTTCTTGCTATTGATAGCTATTGTGTGAGTGGTTTACTCCATAACATGTATTGGCTTCCTGTGTGAAAGATCTTCCAAAGGGGTTAAATCCACATGTATTCCTGGGTCCTAGTTTTTCTTGGAAATCTTGTCTATTTTGCTATGGTAGTTTGTCTTTTAGGCCTTAGTGAGTATTTTCTATTGTCTGGGATGGCAACGGGTTGGGTTTTTTCGGGTTTTGTGTGCGGTTTCTTAATTGTAGAGTCAATTAGTTTAGTGATACAATTTCATACTTCACTCTTAGCCCTAACAGTTTTGACCTATCTCTATCAAAGCTCTCTCAACCTTTTCTATCAGAATCGGGTAAGATCAAACACAATTAGAAATAATTTTTGGAATTCATTAAAATATCAGTAAAATCTTGCATAATATTACATCTCTCTTGTTTGAAAATGAATATTGAAATTCAGACAGAGAGTCAATAACTTACAGGTACATAATTAACGGACTATAAACAATCAACAACCATATAGTAAAGAGAGTCTGGAAAGCAGCTATAAAACTCACTAACCTACAGAATTAGAGAGGTTACCTTAGTCCTTCCTTCAGTGCTGATACGCCAAAACGAAGGTACTAGTTCATCAATCTCTTATCAGATATTTGATTTGAACAAGATGGCCCTGCAATATCACTCCGAACGTAGTCACATTTTTGTTTATCCGAGCATTCGGGTGAGGATATTGATGATTTAGAGAATGAACTAGAAAACAAAAGACGTGGAACAGCAAGATCTGGCATAACACCCTGCACTAATATTCCTGAAGCAAATTTCTTTTTTGCGTTTGGACTTGGAAGGCTGCTTCTTAAAGAAACCGTTCTCTTGTTGTTAGGAAGGGATACGAATCTTTGTCGGAGTGGGATTGGATTTTCATCTGCATTTCCATCTACCATTTTCTTTGGCATCTTGTTCTTTCTTTCTTTCATCCTGGGCCAATGGAGCAGGCGTTTCAAACGTTCTGCTGCGTAATTTATAGAAGCTAGTTTTTTGTAATTTGAATTTGATTCATTACAGTCTTCTATGGTCGAGTCACTGGTGTCTGATGCATTCTCAATCCCTGTGTATAAGAATATTTTTGAATCAGAGATTCTGAAAGAAGTTCCGGGACTCCCCATACTTCTCATCCTTAAGTGGGAAGCAATGGTTCTGCTTGCTGTATAGTCCTGACCATAGGAGATTCCTCCAGCTGAAATTAACTGTCGGGTTAGTATGTCAGATGATGCAGAACGTGGATGCTTCCGGAGGAGATCAAGTGGGGTCATGCCATTTGAATCGCAATCGTTCACATCAATTGAACGGACACTCATTATTTGCTCGACTAAATCAGAATGAATGTTCCCAATGATGGCCAGATGAAGAGCAGTTCTACCATCGTTGTTTTTGGCATTTATGATGTCTTCGGTGTCGAACAATTTTCCACATACTAACTGCTTCATGAGTTCAATTTGTCGATCCAATCTTCTGAAACTAGGAGTTTGAAAACCAGACACCGCCATATGTAGGAAAGTTTCTCCGTCTTTGTTTGTTTTATAGATGGATGAGGGAGATGCAAGAATTAGAGCTTCAACCACGGCTAATTGGCCTCTGTAGGAAGCTACATGCAATGCTGTGTTGCCATACTTGTCCGTGGAGTTGATGATATCGAAGGATGCTATAAGATCTTTCACTACTTGAACAAATAACAAGGTTGCCTATGAAGTTCTAAAACCAAGCTACTGCAAATAATTGAAATTGTGATGTATTATTCTTCTTCCTCCAGTAGAATTACCAATGAGCAGCCTATCTGTTCCTTAATTTTAGTGTACAATCTTACAAAATTGTGCAAGTCTATAGGTATCAATGCTATATGTACGTTGGCTGATCCTAGTACAACTACAGTTGCAAACAATTTGTGGCTCCTAAGATCGTTTCAAGAACCATTTCATATGAAGAATTCATGCATTTTCACAACTCCAACTCGACTAACAATTAGCACATATATGATGTCAAACAGAACACTTGGTAGATGCCATTGTGCAAAATAAAATTGTATCTAAAAAGGCACATCAACAGTTGGATATTTGTTGTAATTGGCTTCTTCCAATACTACTACATGTAGTAGAGCAAACCAAAATCTTTTCACTCCAAAAACATGGAAGCATAATCATAGCAAAATTTAAGAAAAGAAACAGATAAGAAAAAACTAAAATTGGATGAAAGATCAAGACTTTTTATTTTCCATTCCTATCTACAATTTCATAGTGCCGGCTATTGGGTATACGATGCATACAACCAGCTGACATAAATCATTGTAGGCTAAAACTTAGTGATTTGACCATCCAAACAAAAACTAAGAAATTAAAATTTGAAGCTAAATAGCAAGATCCTCACCTCAACCTGACATCTGCCAGCTGCGGCATGTAAGACAGTTGAACCTCGAGTATCTCTATAAGCCGAAACATCAAAGCAATCACCAATAAGCACTTTCAAAATCTTCAAATTGCCTCCTCTTGCAGCGGCATGAACAGCTCTATTCACCATATCCCACTTATAATCACAAGGGATCTCCCCAATATGCTCCTCCAACTCTCCCCCATCGCCTGCCAAAAACCTCGGTGACACTGCAAAATCAAAAAGAAGCCTGAAAACCTTACAATTCTTACTCCTGGCAGCAGCATAAAATATATCAGTCACACCATACTCTCCTTCCCCAAAAACTAGTAGAGGGTTTTTTTCAACCAGGTCTCGGGCAAAGCCCAAGTCTCCAGCTGAGGCAGCAGTGTAGAGAAGCCAGCCACCGTGCCCAGCTCGGATGAGGGAATTTTTCCCTCTCTTGCTTTCACACTCGAAAAAGAGCTTCTGGGCAACCCGAGAACGACACTTGGCGACATCATCAAACTGTTCTTCGTCGTCCCAGACAGTCTCAAGGCGGCGAATTCGCCTGAGAGAGGTGAGTTTGATAAGGTGATTGCCGTCTAGGCGAATGAGCTCCCGGACCAAGTCATAGTGGCCCTTGGCAGCTGCCCAATCAAGTGGGGAAGCAAACCACCATTGGTCCCCAGTGCTTTCCCACCGGAGAGGAAAGTATGAAGGAGACATTGGCAATTGAAACTTGAGATCAGCCTAATACAATTATAAACACCACCACTGATGTTTTTGGCCAAGTTAGTCCTAACCCTTTTCAGATACAATTCAACTCAATTACTTTGAATTGGTTCTGAATCCAAACCCTAAGGCAATGTGGACAATTGCAACAAGAAAAGTACCCAGCTAAAATCCATGATTTGAGGCAATTAATTTAAGGGTAAAGCACACAAAAGCATTATTACTAACAGAAGTATAATCACAACCCTAATCAGTTCAGAAGCAAGTTTTCCGGGGAAAAAAAGGAGGGACAAGAAAAATCAGGATTTGTGAGAATCTTAAGTAAAGAAAAAGAAGAAATACCCTTTTGGAGAGATTATGAACACCTTTAAAAGCTTGCGAAACAAAGAGAATCCACTAGTGATGATGCCAAGAACACAGAGAGGATCAGAGGAATAAGTAATAGTATCATTCAAGTATATGATATGAGAGAGAGAGAGAGGTATGAAGCCATCATTAATCACAGGAAGCAAAACCCAGAAAAGGGAAGATGCCTTGGTACAAGGAAAGTTAGAAATGAGTGGAAAATATGTTCGTAATGACAAAAGAAAATGTTATAAACTTTAAATTCTTTATCAAATAAATGAATATATGAATGTGTGCTCAACATTTTTGTGAGATTCACACCTTTTAATTATTTATGTAGTAAAAAATTTAGTCGGGACAAAATCCAACTGTTCCAAAGAATATGACAAGACATAAAAGACAATGCAGGAGGAGGGTTTGCTTTTGAGCTGTGAAAGTCCAGTTAAAGATGTAGAGATATCAAGAGCGCATGCTAGAAGAGAGAGAGAGAGAGAGAGAGAGAGATGGCAAAGTTGAACCAGAGGGAAGGGTTTTACTGCGTCAATGTTGGACTAATTATAGGGGGCTGAAGATGAAGCCAGAGTGCCTTTAGATAATCCAATGGATTTGTTAGTTACGCTTTATTATTGTTAGTTGCGCTTTGCTGTTGGTTCCAATGGATTTGTTAGTTACGCTTTACTATTGTTAGTGACCCAATTAACATACAAAGTTTAAATTTGCCTGTTTGATTTGAAAGAAAATAAAGGCCCGTTTGGTAGAACTGTGAAAAAATAATTATAGATTATAACTTAACAGATTATAATTTATACCTATGAACATAAGTTATTAATCTGTTTGGTGCAGCGGTGGAATTATGGATTTAAGTAGCAGAGTAGTATTTGGTTGATAAGTGGTAAAATAGCTTTTTACTGTATAATTGTCATTTTTTTTCAGTTTTAATTTTAAAAAATTATTTCATTAATAAAATTTAATATAATTAATATTAATTAGTATCAATTAATATAAAAATTGATACATTTGATAAAAATGTAATAGAAGTATTATTGTTACAATTTTTTTCCATTATAAATTAATTAATATCAATTAATTGCCTAATTAGTATCAATTAATACTAAAATTATTAATTAGTATCAATCAATGGCTTAATTAGTCTCAATTAATACTAAAATTATTAATTAGTATCAATCAATGGCTTAATTAGTCTCAATTAATACTAAAATTATTAATTAGTATCAATTAATATTAATAATCAACAATTGTTATTAATTAGTATCAACTAATAATTAATTCATTACAAACATATACAATATTAATTTATTAATAATTAATACCAATATAAAAATTGTTGATTTTTTCTTTTTCTTCATTTTTTTTTCTTCTCTTCTTTCTTTTTGTTAATTTTGTTTAATTTATTAATTCATTACATATTATTTTATTAATTTATTAACCGCCGCCGGTGGCTAGGGTTTCAACGCCAGAGAACAACGCAGATTGCGATCACGACGGCAACAAACAATGTAGATCAAGAGAGAAAGGGAGGGAGGGATGGTGGTGGTTAGGGTTTCAGATCGCAATCACGATCGCAGAGAGAGACAGAGAGAGAGAGAGAGAGCATGGGTCGATCCTGACGATGGCAAACAACGCCGGAGAACAACGCAGCCGGAGAGAGAGAGAGAGAGAGAGAGAGAGAGAGGAGGCAATGGTTAGGTTTCAGATCATGATCTAGACAACAGTGATATAATCAACCTGACTCAAAAATTCATGAAGATGAAGCCGCCAACTTTCGTGGATGGTATTGAACTGTTGAAGGCAGAAACATGGCTACTTGAAATGGAAGAATTGTTTAAGGTATTTCAATGCTCCGAAATGCAAAAAATTCTCTTGGCCACTTATACATTGAAAGATGAAGCCTGGAGATGGTAGCTACTGATCCGAACTAATAATGGGAGCATGACATGGGCGCAGTTTAACAAGATCTTCTATAACAAGTATTTTCCCCAATGCTTCAGAGATCAGAAAGTGTCTGAATTTCAGGAACTTAAACAAGGCAGGATGTCACTTGCTGAGTATGAGGCCAGATTTACCGAATTGGCTCGATTTGCTCCATACATAGTGGATACTAACTACAAAAAGGCACGAAAATTTGAAGGTGGTTTGGATTTGGAGATACTAGATCGGGTGGGAGTTCTCAACCTACCTACGTACGTGAATGTGCTCGATAGGGCATTAATGGCAGAAGCCATTTTGGCAGCAAAAAGGCAAACTAAGACACCAACAATTGAATGGCGAAGCAAGATCCGGATCCACTTTTCGGAAGGGCCGTTCGTTCTTTACGAACAAAAAGCAAAATACTGGATCTTCAAGCAATTTAAGCCAAAGTAGTGGGTCTAAGCCAACCTGTACAGAATGTGGAAGGAAGTATACGGGCGTGTGCCATCGTGCATAGGGCGCATGTTTTCGGTGTGGCAAGATCGGTCATATGATGAGAGACTGCCCAATGAGGTTTGATAATGCAAATCATCCAACAACAAGTTCAGCCGGATCTGCTTCTGTAACGAGAACCAATACAATAACAAATGCCAAGGGTAATACCGGGAATGAAATGCTAAGGCAAGGAAGGGTATTTGCACTAGTGCCTGGGGATGTACAGAATACTGAGCCAGTGGTGTCAGGTATAATCCCTATCTGTGCTCAAAACGCCTATGTACTAATTGATTCTGGTTCTACACATTCGTTTGTATCGCACGCTTTTTCTCGGAAATTAACTCGACCATTAGAACCTTTGAATTACATGCTATCTGTGTCTACACCATCTGGAAGTTCTATGATGTGTGCGTATGCATATCCGATATGTGATATTATGATTGGTGATATGATATTATATGGTGATCTATTACCCTTGAACACTGATCACTTTGATTGCATATTGGGTATGGATTGGTTGTCGAAATATTGTGCCACTATTGATTGTATGAATGAAACTGTCAAGTTTAAACCACCTGGTATGCCTGAGTTTGTGTTCACTGGGAGTAGAGTAGTTCCTCCACCATACTTGATTTCATTATGAAAGCTAGAAAATTGTTCAGAAAAGGTTGTTAGGGCTACTTGTGTAGTGTGTTGACTGAGTCTTTGGATAGTACTAGTGTGGACCCTATTCCTATGGTTTGTGATTTTCCTTATGTATTTCCTGATGACTTACCTGGGGAGTTAATTGATAGGGAAATTGAGTTCACCATTGATGTTGTACCCAGGACACAGTCGATTTCTAAAACTCTATACAGAATGTCCACCACTGAACAGAAGGAATGGTTATGTGACCTGGAAAAGAATGAAATTGAGATTGTGATATGAGAACAGAGTGGAATCTTAGCTGCTATTTCTGCTCAACCTGCAATCATAGAAGAAATTAGAGAGAAACAACTTGAAGATGAGTTCTTGAAAAAGATTGTCGAAGAATTTGACTCAAAGCCGAGGCCGGGGTATGTGTTTGAGAATAATGTGTTGAAATTTCAGAATAGACTTTGTGTACCAGATTCCTCTGATTTAAGAAAGCGTGTTATGCCTGAAGCTCATAGCTCTAAATTTGCCATGCATCCGGAGAACACAAAGATATATCATGACTTGAGATAGAACTTCTGGTGACTTGGAATGAAGAAATGCATTGTCAACTTCGTAGCTAAATGTTTGCACTGCCAACAAGTTAAAGTTGAATATCAACGACCCGTTAGATTACTTCAACCACTTCCAATACCGAAATGGAAGTGGGAACATATTACTATGGATTTTGTTGTCGGTCTGCCTCGTCCTTCTTGAGGTATGGATTCTATTTGGGTCATTGTTGATCATTTAACTAAATATGCTCACTTTTTACCTGTCAAATCTTTGTATAATGCGGATAAGTTGGCTAATTTGTATATTAATGAGATTGTGAAATTACATGGAGTTCCAGTGTCCATAGTAGCTGACAGAGATCCCAAGTTTACTTTGAGATTCTGGCAGAGTTTGCAACAAGCTTTGGGGACTGAGCTAAGACTAAGCAATGCTTATCACCCACAGACAAATGGCCAATCGGAACGGACCATTCAAACAATGGAGGACATGTTACGGATGTGTGTGTTAGACTTTCAAGGTAATTGGGAAACTTACCTTCCTCTCGCCAAATTTATGTATAACAACAGCTATCATTCAAGTATTGGGATGGCTCCATATGAAGCCCTGTATGGAAGGAAATGTCGTTCTCCTATCTGTTGGGCTGAGGTAGGTGACAGACCATTATTGGGACCAAAACTGGTGCAAGAAACAACTGAGAAAGTGAAACTGATTCAACAACGCATAAAAACTGCACAAAGCCAACAAAAGAGTTATGTAAATGTCCGGAGAAGAGATAGAGAGTATGAAGTTGGTGATCATGTGTTCATAAAGTGACTTTTATGAAAGGGAAAACCCGGTTTGGCATTAAGAGCAAGTTGGCGCCAAGATATGTCGGGTCATATAAGATTCTCGAGAAGATTAATTCAGTAACATACCATGTAGCCTTACCTCCGGTGATGGAAAACATGTACAATGTCTTTCATATCTCTATGCTTCGGGATTATTTGAGAGATCCGCTACATGTGATTGAGCTGACTCATGTACTTCTAAAAGATGATTATACATACGAGAAGAGGCCGATGTAAATTGTGAACCGTCGAATCAAAATATTGAGAAACAAAGAAATTCCGTTAGTGAAGGTTGATTGGCAAAATCATGGAGGAACTTATGCAACTTAGGAGGTAGAAGAAGACATGATAAGAAGATACCCAGAGTTATTTCCCTTGAATTCAGTGTTCTTCCAGAATGAAGGTAATTTGAGTTTGGAGGAGCAAACTCTTTAAAGGGGGAAGACTGTAATAACCCCAATCCATGATTGGCGCTAATTCATGCTTAAGTATGCCTAACAAGTAATTAAGAAGAAATCCTGAGTTAATTACATGTGCATTGTATTATTTTGTGTTTATATCTGTTTAACGTAGAAAAATCTGTTTATGTTTTTATTCGGTTTGTGAATTGAAGGCCTTATCGGCATTCAATTCAGAAATTGACTTGATTTATGTGCTATTTGGAATTTTTAGAATATTATGGTAGTTTTAATCAAGATTCAATTTGGAACGATTAAATTAGATTAAATTAATGCCCACTTAATTAGCCTAGCTAATCAAACATATAAATAAACCACTCATAATTGAGAGAACTGATTTCCTACCATCATCTTGAGCAACCAACGGGTGAAAGAGGAGAAGAGGAAACTTGAGCTCAATTCAAGGAGGAAAAGAGAGATTTGCTAAGAGTGATCAAGAATTGAAAGGGATTGGTGATAGTTTGTTGAACCTAGCTAGAATCTAAGGGAATTGTGGATTCTAGGTAAGGAATCAAACTCTTAGTTGTGTAATTGAGTTAGATTTTACAAGAATTCAAGTGGATTAGATGAATTCATGTAAGGATTGAGCTAGAATTGATGAAAGTTAAGTCAT